CCCTCCCCCCACCTCCAGTCACTTCCCATTGTTCCTCTTCCTTTACTATGCCTGAAACATATGAGAAGAATGAGTCAAACAAAACTAACACTGTCAAATTTATGTAGTCTTCAGTAAAACAGGCAACAATAACAACAATAAAACAACAGGAAAACAGACAAACCCAGCAACTAGGTGTGTCGTTTGAATGACAACAGTCCCAGTCCCCTTTGGCTCCTATGTCTGAATACTTGGTCCTCAATTGAAACTGTTTGGGAGGAACTGGGAGGTCTGGCCTTATTGCAGGAGGTATGCTGTTACTGGGTGCAAGCTTTGAGATTTCAAAATCCCAAGCCATTTCCCTAGTTCCCGCTGGGTCTTGCTTATGGATCAGGATGTGAGCCAGCCCTCAGCTCCTGCTCCAGGACATCCCCGCCCGATGTTATGCTCCCTGTCATAGGCATGGACTGTAACCCCTTAAACCACAAGCCCCAAATTGAATCCTTTCCTTTATAAGTTTCCTTGGTCATGCCCCCCCCACACACAAAAGTAACTAACACATTGAGATATGTTATTAAATAAACAGAAGAAAAAGGAGGTAGGTGCTGTTTGGATTATTATTATTCCTAAGCATTCTGGTAGGGAAATTCATCTACAACAATCAGTCACGGAAGTAGGCTCCAAAGGCCACTGATCAGATCTCTAATGCTGAGTTTCCGCCACCATTAGACCATGAAGGAAAGCAATGTGGAAGGAATGCACCTGTGCTCAGCACAGCAGCAGGCCACTGCCTAGAGTGTATCCCCAAGCTGTGCTCACAACACCTGGATATAGATGAGAAGCCCCCCCAATTCAACAAACGAGAGAGTGAAGATTTAGGAATTACAAGACCCATCTTGCTGGAACTTAGATGTAGGCTGAAATTGCGCTAATTCTTCTGGTTTCTTTGCATTACCTAGAACTATTTCTCATTTTGTCTGATACCGAGCATGGCCTTAAGTGAGATAAAAATCATTCATGAACTCTTTCTCTGGCCACAGATACAGAAGAATGTTTCAAGTTCAAAGAATGGGGGAAATCGCAACCTAATTCTTTACTAAACATCTTTTCTTTCCTAAAAACAAACAAACAAACAAACAAAAACCAACTCTGTGCTATGAAGTCCTTAGTCAAGTTAGTCGGACATTTGAACTCAGAGGAACTATGCAAAGAAGGTCTTGCTGAAATGTGTGTGCCTGTATTCCATGTTTTGCTGGACTGCCATCCCTTACAGTGACCCAATCCACAGTAACTGCCTTTAAGGCAGAACTCATATTGCAAGCTGGTGAACAGCTCTGGACTAGGCTGTAAAGTCAGCTGGCTACATCTGCCCATGTTGCTGTATTGTGTGGAGTTAATGGGCCAGGAGTAATCTATGCAGCTAAGTCAAAAGATTTTCAGCAACACAAACCCAAAAGCGTTATAGTTGGTCAAATCCAACGCAATCTGGGAGACATCTCCAACCTTAAGGTGACTTCCTCTTGAAACATCTTACCTCAGGATCAGGCAGACTGGTGCTACCCTTTGTGCTAAGCACATTTTCATTTGTGTGGTTGCTAGCAGCCTACATGTGGTATGTGAGCCCTCATGTCTCTTGTGCGTTCTTTCAAATAGCAAAATAAAGTGGTTTTCCTTTCCCTCCTGTCTTAGTTAGGGTTTCTGTTGCTGCAATGCGACACCATGACTACAAAGCAAGTTGAGGAGGAAAGGATTCATTTGGCTTACACATCCATATCACTGTTCGTCATTGAAGGAAGTCAGGACAGAAACTCAAGCAGGGCAAGAACCTGGAAGCAGGAGCGATGTAGAGGCCCGTGGAGGGGTACAACTCACTATCTTGCTCCCCATGGCTTGCTCAGCCTGCTTTCTTATAGAACCCAGAACCACAGGTCCTGGATGGCACCATGCACAATGGGCTGGGCCCTCCCCCATCAATCACTAATTTTAAAAAATGCCTTACAAAAGAGATACCTGAATAGAGGGAGCTGTTATGGGCTTAACGAGAAATCTGGCAGTAAGGAAATATCCAGGAATCCACAAGGATGACTTCAACTAAGAATCTAAGCAATAGTGGAGAAGCTACCTTAAATGCCCTTCCCCTATAATGAGACTGATGACTACCTTAGATGTCATCATAGAGCCTTCATCCAGTAGCTGATGGAAACAGAAGCAAAGATTCACATCCAAGCCAAACTCCTGGAATCCAGTTGTAGAGAGGGAGGGGTGGTGAGCAAAGGGATCAAAACTATGCTAGGGAAACCCACAGAAACAGCTGACCTGAGCAAATGGGAGCTCATGGACCTCGGTCTGTCAGCTGGGGAACCTGCTTCAGACCGAACCAGGGCCCTGAACATGGGTGTAGTTGGGGTGAGAGGGTGTTCTACAAAGCCGGTAGTTGCAGGACAGCCAGGCTATTACACAGAGAAACGCTGTCTTGAAAATGCAAAACAAAACAAACAAAATCTCTATTTCCATGGTCACATACCAAGAAAAGTCATGTGAGGAAAGGAGCCCCTGTTGACACCTGATTATGTAATTCCAGCCTCTAGACCCCTGAAAAAGTGAGAATTGTGAAAGCCACCCACCGTGTCATATTCTGTTACAGCAACCCGAACTGGGATGTTAATCAAAACTGGCCCTCCCTCACACTGACTCCACTTGGATACATCTAACTACTTGCTGCTGTAAAGGTGACATGCATGCCAGAAAAAAATCATACTTTGAATTTCATATTTGGATCTTTTCCTAGTGCTATGTCACGGGATACTCTCAAGTGATGCTGGGCAGTGGTATTAGGGTCACAACTCCCAGTCAGTGGACAGTCAGGAGGGAACCGACTCTGTATGCTACTGTTCAGCTGTGGCATTCCATGAGTTAGTCATAGGAAGCACATTTTTAACTCAATATGCTTTCAACTAAGAAAAGGTTTGTTAGGAAATAACTGCAGGTCGGTTTGTCTGTCTGTCTGTCTGTCTCTATCTCTCCCGTTTCTTCTTGTTATGCTTTGCTGTCTCCACCAATTGTCTCAGGGGCCCTGCTTTCCTGGTTTTTTGTTTGTTTGTTTGTTTGTTTTGTTTTGTTTTTGTTTTTAAGTTCTTAATCCTCACTTAGCAACACAGGATCAGATACTCCCTGCTGCCAGGACCTTCAGTCTTACAATATCAAGAATTCTTTGTGGGATCAGACTCAAAGTAAAAGTTCCTCACTCATATAGGAGCCAGACAAGCCCAGATGGAGCTTCTCCTGGCAAAACGAAGAGGATTGTTGGTGAGCACATCCATTCCCTAGAAGAAATAAGTAGAGATGTCTATACATGTGACCGTCTATACATGAGAAGCAGGGAATGCTACCTCTACACGTACAGTTCCAGGGCAAGTCAATAACTCCAGATGTGCTTTTGTTAGGGCAGGTATGTACTCACTGGGGAAAAAATATGCAGGTCAATCAAGGCTTGGTGATAGAATCAGTAAGGCTGCGCAGAATGAACACTGCAATAGACCTTCGGCCCTCTCCTCTGCAATCATAGGCATGTTCCACATGTCATCCCTTGCTTGTTTCTCATCTTTTTAATAGATGAAAGACGTCCCAATCTCTTCCTGAGAAATTAGACTTCTCTTACCTGACCTGAAGGCAAGGGAAAATATATCCTTTAATTCCTATGTTTTATAAGCATTAAAACAAAATTCACTCAAAAGTAGGGAGGGGTTGGTTGTTTTTATCTTGTAAATAGGTTTTTTTTTTTTAATCCTTTGAGGGTTCTTATATAGACTGGTACTCATGCTGGATAGTTTAACTCTAGAGTTTATATTTTTAAAAAGTACAAATTACCTATTCTTTCTTTTTGAATTTTTTATTAGTATTGTTTTTTCTTATTTTACATATTGATTCCAGTTCCCTCTCCCTCCCACCCTCCCATGTCTCCCCCTCCCCATTCTGTTCCTCGCCCACTCCACAGGGAGGGTGAAACCTTCTAGGAGAGATCAGCAAAATCTGTCAAGTCATTTGGAGTAGGGTCTAGGCCCTCCCTCCCTCCTATGCTATCCTAGAACCTTCATCTAGTAGCTGTTAGAAACAGAAGCAGACACAGCTAAACACTGAGGCAACCTCCTGGAATCCAGTTGCAGAGAGGGAGGAGTGATGAGCAAAGGGGTCAAGAAACCCACAGAGACAGCTGACCTGAACAAAGGAGAGCTCATGGACCCCAGACTGATAGCTGAGAAACCAGCGTTGAACCAACTCAGACCCCCTAAATACGGGTCTCAGTTAGGAGGCCTGGGCAGTCTAAGGGACCTCTGACAGTGGAACCAGGATGTATTCCTGGTACACGAAAGGACATTGGGAGCACATTCCCCCTGGAGGGATACTCCCTTAACCTAGAAATTACCTATTTTTTCAGAAACATGGTTACAACTGAGATTCCCAGCAGTGAACAGCAGCACTGTTTCTTACTGAACAGCCAACTCCCTCTTCAAATCTGAATGAGCAGCGTCTGTGAACTGTTTACCCCAGCCTGCACTGGCCTAAATTCAGCTACTTGTTTATAGAAAAGCTCTGTGTGTTTTGTGTTTGTAAGCCAGCATTAATCTGCACACTTGGCCTAAACTGCCATACTTTACTCCATGTAAAGCAGGAATAGAAAAAGTGTGACAAACAGAGTGGTCTCCTAAATTACCCTGCCCTTTTTATCACTCTGACCCAGAAGATAAATAAGGTGACCACATAAAGAAAAAGCTTAGTTTCCTAACATGGGGTGAATCCTACATTTAAATCCATGGAGAATTGACTCCAATGACTGCATTTCAAAACATATTTTCATTTTGTAAACAAGAGAGAAAGACAGTCTTGTAGCTTCTGTTTAGGTCATAGTGACCCAATTACCTGGTCAAAGGGCTGCATAGATGCAAGAGACAGGGCGAGTTAAAGTTTAACTCCGGGGAATTGTAAACCAAACCTAAAGCCACTGAACCTTTGGAGTTTGATACGATGACTAGACTATAACCAAAGTGGCACGCTGAATTCGCCATAATCAAGGAACCTTTTTCCGGGTGGGGAACCTCAGAAATTGCTCAGGTATGGCCCATGCTTTTTTTTGTATTTTCTGTTTCAATTCTGTGTTGTGGTATCTGTGAGAATGCGTGAAAACAACCTGTGCTCTTTTCTACCCCTGAGTCTAAGTCAGAGAATTGTCGTTTGCTTTTCTACTAATGAAACCAACTGAAAAATTGGAATGATCCTATAATCTGAAGTTGAGATGAATGACATGATTTATTCCTTGATTTAGTGTGCTTTCTAAGCTTGTGGAAAGTGGAGTAATAACTGTGGCTTCAAAAGTGGGGTTCCTGTGCTACAACCCTTACCTCCAGCCAGATTATTAAGAGTCAAGGAGAGCTGTGTTTTACTGTCTGCCCTGATCCCTAAGACCTGGGAACAGAAATGTAATTAACAAAAGACATAGTTTAACATCTCTAGAAGTTGTTTTACTTCTGTGTATCAGTCCTAATTCCTATCATACTGTAGACCCTATCTATTCAGTTAACTTCTGTATGTTACCACCCCAAGGACAGAACTGGGATGAATTCTTGCTGTCTTCTGCCATTAACCTGCTAACCAAAATAACACCCTAAGCTGTTGGCTTTTAATGCTAGCAAGAAAAGAAAACAAAGACCATTATAGAAAAATAACTGGTTTTGAGTGTGTTAAATCTTAACCTCGAGGTAGCTATTTATTAGGTCATTTTCACAGACTGAGCAAACACAGCACAGCACACATATTTTTACATTACTATTTCTATCACCCCTGAAAGACAGTTAAGCACCCACATGTGATGGTCTTAAGGAAGGTGTAGATCAGGGCATTTTGTGTTCCATCAGAATCTCGAATCTCCGACTGATCGAGGCTTCACCATGATCAGAGTGAGTGCCACAGAGAGGCCCTATTAAACATGTGGTTGTCCCAGTGACAGTTACAGAGGTGATTCTGCAAGGAAATAGAAACTGAGAAATCATTTGTGCACCCAAGAGATTAATATTTTATAAACCAAATATTGGTAAATTTCAGTATAAGGAGCATCAAATGAGTTAGACTAGCTTGAAACACTAACGTGCTAAGCAGCATACAGTGAGAGGGTAAATGTGGAATAAAAGGGAAATCGCTTACTTGTCTGAGTAATTAGGGATTTCCCTGCCAATACAGAGAAGGAGATACTTCTCGTTTATTTTTCAGGCCATTTCTAGAATAATATTGGTACTTCTCCATTAAAAAATTGTATATGATTTACTGTGTGTTAGGTATAAGAGAAAGAGAAAACACAGTTGTTAAGAAGTTGTTTTAAGTGATATTCACAGAATGACACAATGTATACAAAATCATGAGTAGCCATTTTAAACAAATGACAAGTTAATCAACATAACCAGCACTGCACTTAAGGAACAGAAGGGATCATAAACAGCTGTCTCAATAGTCAATCAAACCTGCTGAGTAAGTGATATTAGACAATTGAATGCAGCTCTCCTTTCTATTTGGGTGCTCTTCAATATAACAATATTACATTATCAATTGCATTTCTAAGCATTCTCTATAAATTTAATCTCATGTTATTCCTGGAACACCCTGCTACTATTATTACTCTAACTACATACCATACTGTTATTAGGTTGAGGTATAGACAAATTACTTAACAGGCTCAATGTTAAAAGCAAGTGGCATAGTCAAATGACCTAGCCAGGTAGTCTAATTCCAGAACATGTGTGCACACTCTACTCAGTCACTGGGGTTTACTATGTGCACATGGGTTTTATTGTTGCAATTAGCCAAAAGAACAGCTAATGCAGTTTCCTAACTGTACTGTATAAGAGAACTTCTTCCAGGAGCAATTGTCTATCAACATCTCTCCAAAGTTATATTCCTTAGGCTACAGGCTAAGAACAGACCACTTTCATAGCCCATGTCTAGTATTCAAGATGACAGGAATCAAGTGAAATCATCAAGTTTAGATTGATCTCAGTCAGAACTTCCAAGACCTCATATACTTTCATCTTCTTCCACCCAACAAAGCCATGCCCAAATTAGAGTCTTTAAAATTAATTACAACAAGAACGCCAGACTCCTCTGCAGACACAACCAGGCTGCAATGTCACTCCAAACCTTCCTGGCTTATGAAGCTGTGACATTATTTGGCTTCTCGAGAGTTCAGAGTCTTTAGATGATAAACGGATATGTGATCTGCCTATAGAACTTTGTAAAGATAGATAAGCAGAGTGCTGGTGTTTAAGAGCAAGTTGATTCCCTTCTATTTTCCCATTTATAACAATTTTTCCAGAAAAAAACTTAAACTGTCCAAATTTACCACTAGCTTTCTCAAAACAATTATATTAAAATAGAAAATTATATGAAGAAACCCTTTAATTACAAAAGCCACTGAACTTCTTGAGAACCTACTAACACACACACACACACACACACACACACACACACACACACACACACACACACATTCACACACCACACAACTACAAACTGGATAACTTTTACTTTAGAGACTATTTTCTCAGAGCTACTACTGAAAACTCAACAAGCTTTTATTGACACCCATACTTTCAGGCTCTGACACTGTGTATGTTAACTCCATTACACAGACAGCTGGTCTAAAAGCTATTTCAGTAACTATCTGAAAACACTAGCATCCCTTAGGACACTGGGTAATACTTTGGGTACTATTGCCCAATGGCTTTCATTACCACATGAGTCTCTACATGACTCAGTAAGCTCAAACAAGAAGGTATTGATTGACAGAAGATAAGCTTCCTTTTATCTTATCCATAGACACAGTAACTAGGTTTCTCTCAAGTGCAATTCTAACAGTCGAAACTTCCCCGGGAAAGGCAGTTGGGAAAGATGCCTTATTCCTGCAGTGACGTCCATATTCACCATCTAAATCCCATCTGCTTCCTAGCTTAAAACTGCTAATCTAGTCATTAACAAACATTTATCACCAAAGGGATCAGGAAAGTTGATTTATCATTTTAAGCCATCAACCCGATTCCAAACAGATTGTAAGTTTTTAACATTTAGAATTATTTTATTACATCGTTTTCCCCTTCCATTTCCTCCTTCCAACTCATCCCAAGTACAACTCACTGCTCTCTCTCAAATGCATGGCCTATAATTTTTAATTGTGTGTGTGTGTGTGTGTGTGTGTGTGTGTAAATAGAAAGATGGGAGATAGGCAATGGAGAGAGAGACAGACAGACAGACAGAGATTCCTAAGAGTATAAACACAGCATTCTCAGACAGACCCTATAATGTTACTTGTATAAATTCATGACTGACCATTTTCATTTAATACACCAAAGTTTTGTGTTGAATATTTTGGGTGGATTCAATTAAAAGGCTATTTTAGTCATACCTTGGTAATTGTCTACAGGGGATTGGACTCAGGACCTCTGTGCTACCCAAATCCTCATATACTCTAGTTCCCTATATAAAAACAGCACAATGTTTGCATATAGCTTGTGCACATCCTTTCACATACAATAAGCTGTCTCTGGGCTACATCCTGTCCCTTGCACTTTGTAAACATATTAAAGAGTTCCATGCTGCATTGTTTATATGTTACTCAAGATAAATGTCTGCTTATATTCAATACAGATGCCTTTCTTGCAAATATTTTTATCTGTAGTTAACCGAATCTATGTATGGGGAACCCACAAATTCAGAGGTCCACCTACATTTCCTTTTGTAAAATTTATGGCCTTCACTAACCTGTACTGATACACTCACCTTCCTAATTTGAGATTTTAAAAGACGTCTAAGCTAAGCTTTTTCTCTGTGGATTTGTGGAGAAAATTTTATGTGTATCAATATTAACAATGTGGACATGTTCCAGGCTTGCTTCTTCCAGTGGGGGTTGTTTTCAAGCGATATTGAGAGGAAAGAGTCATAAAGATATGAAAACTCCCTGGACTTGCAGAGTGTTCTGCACCAGTAAATAATACATTTAATGAGAATTAGCACATGACAGTTTAACAAGATATAATGTCTAAATAAGCAAATTTGATTATAGTTTTATAAAATCCCACTTCCAATTAGGTAGTAATGACTTTACTTCCTCCATCAACTAGGAAATAATTATTGGTTAGGATGCTCAATTGATTTCAAAAAATACTAGGTCTGAGTATGGGAATTATATACTCTAATACGTTATTACCACAGCATATTCTAGTTTGTAAATGTATTTAAGGGCCAGCAAAATGACTCAGCAGGGAAAAGCATTCACTGCATAAGCCTGAACCCCAAGTTCAATTCCCAGAACACATAATGGAAAGCAAGAACTCAGTTCCAAAATTTCTTCTCTGGCATGAACATGTCCATACTCATTCCTATACATTGCACACATAAATGCATGCATAATTAATAATAATAATAATAATTTCATTGATTAAATGTGTTCTTTGTCAATTTCATGTATATATATACATATATATATATATATACATACATACACACATATATTGTTGCTTTCACCCTACTCTCTCTTTTTAAAATATTTTCACTAATTCTTTGACATTGTTATATAATTTGTTTTGATGATATGCATAGAATAACTCCAAATTGACCACTTTATATGTATATGGATGCATATGCATATATTTGTATATATGAAGCTTATAAAATGGGTTCCTATATGGCTTTTTCTTTTTTCTTTTATTACTTTTTCTTATTTTACACATCGATCCCAGTTCCTGCTCCCTCCCATACCCCCTGAACCCCTCCCATCCCGTGCCCCCCCATTCCACAGGGATGATGCTATATGGTTTTTTCAAACATCTCTAGTGTTAACTATCCTCCCTCCAAATGCCTCCTTGTTCCTACACCTCTCTTGTCTCTTCCACCCCTGTCTTGGTAGTCTTTTTGTTACAGTCAAGTCAATTTGTTTGATTTGTTACCCACAGAGTTTTGCCTGGGCTGTTTTTATGATGGGGAGTTTGGAAATAACTTTTGGAGCCTAGTTGGCTCAGCAATGGTTACACAGCTGAAAATAATGGTTCCCACTCTCCCAGAATGTACCAGTT